CCAGGTGGGATGAGCCAACCTGGTGCGGGCACAGTCGGCTCGGAGTTGCCCCATCATCGAGTCCTTGGTGCGCCATTCCGCGAATGGCGGCATGCTCAGCTGTGTCAACTTCCACGCTGCACCCCAGTTCTGATCGAGTCGATACTGTTCTATCGAAGCAGCAAAAGCAGTAGAATCAGACGCGCTTTCTCGTTCTGACCAGAGCGCAGCATTGTCAGAGCACGGGCGATGCCCCACGTCGCGTAGCCCAACGACTTTTCGTGCCCCAGAGGCATCTCGTCCTTGACGTACTTCTCCACGGTCATGACGCTTGCCGAGGACTCGCCCAAAGTGTCCGCAGCCAAGGTCTCGACGGCGGTGATGTACGCAGATGGGTTCTGCTCCATAGCCAGCTTGAGCCGTTCCAGAAGAAGGGAGCCCTTTGCACCAGACAACTTCCTGAGGGGGTCCTCCGAGGTCACCTCGGTCTCGGATTCCGAGCCAGATTGGCTCAACGGAAGTCCAGGTCCTTTGCTCTTCTTCTTCGCCTTGCCACCTGACCCCAAAGCTTTCACCAGGGCCATCTTCAGGAGCTGGTCGGTTGACATGTCGGCGCCTTCGGCCCCCACGCCTGCCGCGCTTGCAACACTTGCCTGACCATCGTCCTTGGGGGCCAGCGCCAGTCCAGGGCGCCGAGCGGGAGGTGGAGGTCCAACAACAGCCTGAGCCTTTGCCAAAGCACCAGGGGCCATCCCTGGCTCCTGACTGCCACTCGCTCGCCCTTGCCGCATTCATCTGCTCCAGCAGGACGGTGTTGGCGTCGGCTGTCGGGTTTGCGGCGGCTATGCCATCGTCCACGCCAGTCTGATAGGCCTCCGAGGGCACCAGATCCTCCTAGCACGAGCAGCAGCAGCCAGCTGTTCGTAGTTCAGAACCTTTACCACCGCATCTGCAGTATGAGGCCAAATGGCATTGACAGGCCAGTTCGCGCCTCCACTCAGCAGGTGTCTGTAAAGGGCCTGAGGCCAATCCAGCAGCAGGATGTCTACTTCCACAATCTCGCCCTCGTCCAACGTGCCCTCTGCCTGCACTAAGGTCGTCGGCCCCAGGGCGTCCGTGATGCCAGCTATGGCGCCTGCAGTCAGCTCGTCCTCGGTCAGGGCCCCCATGGAAATCCCCAGCAGAAGTGCTCCTTGACGGCGAAGCACCGGTACAGCAGGAATCTCCCGAGCACCGAGGCGCAGAAGCAGCCATTCCGGTGTCGAGCTCTGTTCGGCAATCGGCAGTGTGTTGGCTTTCCGTGCTCCAAGGGCTCTCCACGGCATCGCTTCAAGCACAAGACGGGAAAGGAATGCCCAGGCCTAGGCAGTATGCCTCAGCTTCAGCATGCGAAGGAAAGGCCACCACGCGGGTGGAAGCTTGTTGCTTCAACTTTTGATCCGCCTGGCGCTTCTTGCTCACACACCAGGCCTCCAAGTCCACACTGATGCCAAGCCAGCAGCTGTTCTGGATACCCAAGGAACGAGGGCGGACCAAATCAGTCGAGCGTAGGTCCCGGTCCCGGGAATCCACGCCGGCTTGCCAGGCAGCAGTAATACGAGCAATCGGTGTACCTTTAGCTTGCTTTGAGCTCAAGCGGGCAGCCAGCCGATCACGCACCGCCGGTTCCAGGAATGGAGCAGGAGGTGGAGATAGCACTTCCCACTCGGTGCCCTCCTCAGTAGCAGGTACCTCAGGAGCTGGAGCTGGTTCCACAACCACTTCGACCCGCACACGCACTGATGCAGTAGAGGACTCAGCAGTCACCGTGGCCGCAACCATGCAAGTCACTGACGGCGATACCCCGCTAATCTATCCTCTACTCCTACAGGCACCACCGCCGGGCGAAGGAACTCCCTCACAACAGCTACGACCACCTGCCTGCACCTAGGAGATACCACCAAAGTAGCAACAAGGGCACCTGAAAGGAAGCCGCCTACCCAGCACGAAAGACCCAACAACAAAGTCTCAGCAATGGTAGTGCGGGGGCAAAGATTAAGCCCGGAGATCAGGTGCCCTAAAAGCACTTGCCACATCGAAGCAGAAGCGGCTGCAGGCCATTCCATGTCTTGATAAAGCATTTAATGCAAGCATGTGTTGTGCTTGTTGTCGGCAGTCCATCGCATTCATTCTGTAAAAGTGCTGCCAAAAAAAGAAGGGACAGATTAGACGCCTCAGCAAGCGTGGGGCTCACTTCTGGCAATTACATGCGTGCCGCGCAAGGCTTTAGCAGTATTAAGCCAACCGGGAAGACCGCCCTTTATGTTTGGTTGACTCACAGACAGCCTCC